TGCAAGGAGAAAGTAAGCGGCCTGATGCTGGCCGCGAAGGTGGTGAACACCGCGAAAAAGGAGGACAGGCGAGCCGTGGAGCGAGAGGTGGAAATCATGAGACGGCTACAGCATCCACGACTTATTCAACTTTACGATGCCATCGACACCGGCAAGCAGATATACGTAGTCTTGGAACTGTAAGACCCTCAAGATGCCCTGTGATTATTTTCTATATAGATTTCATTCAATTTCATGATTATGTTGCCTGTATGTTCAAGGATCGAAGGTGGCGAACTATTTGAGAGGGTGATAGACGACGATTTCGTGTTGACCGAACGCAGTTGCGCCGTTTTCTTGCGACAGATCTGCGAGGGTGTAGAGTTCATTCACCGGCAGAATATCTTGCATCTCGATTTAAAGGTGAGTTGTATATTAAAGTGTCGCTCGTGCATCGACAACATGGTAGAATCTTTGTTATTTGGCAATTTATTCATAAATCTATTGAAGCGTAATACGAGTTATTAATTTAATTTATTTATATTATATATATTATATTATTATATTTTATATCTTATTTTATATCTTTCCTACGATTATCAACAATTCAATTATCCCGCGTTGTTTGAAGAAACCAACTTGGTAAACGATGTATTCTCTATTTCTAGCCTGAGAACATATTATGTTTGACAAAGGATGGTAACAGGATTAAAATCATAGACTTCGGTCTGGCGAGGGAGTACGATCCGAAGAAGAAGCTGCAAGTTCTGTTTGGCACGCCGGAGTTCGTTGCGCCGGAAGTCGTAAATTTCGATCAGATTGGTTACGGTACCGACATGTGGAGTATAGGCGTTATCTGTTACGTGTTGTAAGTTGCCCTTCAACTTCGATCCGTTTGCTTCATAAACATTATTATTTCGCTACGTGGGAAAACAGGAACATAAATATTTGAGAGATGTTCAAGAACTAAAATGTGACTGTAATATGATAAATGTTCAGAAGTTTAGAGACGTTTCGGAGGAGGAGATATTTCAAATTAATTTAAGTTTCTCAATTTTCAAGTCTTCCATTCTGTTTTTCTTTTTTTTTTTTTTTTTTTTTTTTTTTCAAATTCAACGTTGAGTTTGAAACTTGAAATACACAGTGTACAATAAATGTGATTGTCGACTTTAGAAAAGTGTCAGAGAGGAAGATATCTCAAATTAAGTTTCTCAATTTTCAAGTTTCCTATGTAAAATTCATCTGTTTTAAAATTCAACGTCGAGTCTCATTTATTCCCCATCTACTTTATACACACGTATATGTTGAGCAATGCATACATCTTCGTAGACATTAGAAAAATTCTATCTTTATTTCGAGCATCAGGCGAGCAACCTTCGGGGAGAAACGTGCAAAACGCGTTTTGCATTCCACAGTTCTATTTCCCAACAGTCCGGAGAACATAAACTTGGAACATTTATCGGTTTATACGGAGCAACGTAAATTGTACCAGTGAAATTCGCTTGTTTCTCCCCACCGAGGGGAAATTAAAAATCTCTTTCGCTCTAACATAAATTACAGGCGAAACATACAGGCGAGCCGTTTATTTTTATTTTCAGATTATCCGGTTTGTCGCCGTTCATGGGGGACACGGATCTCGAGACGATGGCGAACGTGACCATCGCCAAGTACGACTTCGATCATGACGCGTTCACCAACATATCCGAAGACGCGAAAGACTTTATTCGATGTCTGCTAGTCAAAGACAAAGAGTACGTATCGTTTTTTTTTTTTTTTACTTCTGAGGAATACTATACGTCGTGCAAACGTGACGTGAAGGTGTTATGCTAAAACACTGGGATCGTCATCGATTGCGTTTCCTCGACCGATAGAAATCAAACGTGAAACATCGACACGTTTGCAGAATTTATTAATGAACGTGACTGTCCAGATAACAAAACGCAAGAACAACGTTGCCTTTGATCACACATTGCTTGCCAAGAAAATCAAACAGACACGTCATTTTCTACCGTCTATCGATCATCCACAGGATCAAATAATTCTTTTGTTCTACGTAGAAAAAAGAATGATAATCGAAATAAATAGTTCATAGAAATTATAATGATAGAAGATCAAAAATGAACTAGTGCAAATTTATTCTCGTCACATTTTCGAGGTATTCCTCAAATTAAAAATTAATGATAAACTGCTGATCGTGTAGAAAAATTTGTTGTAACATCTTGTTTTATCGTTAAGATTACAATATGTGAATCTTTATACATAAACGAGAATTATCTAATTAGATTGCTGATATTTTCATTGTTATATTTTCCGCGATATTTTCAGAAAATGATATTAAACTGATTGAATGTTAAAGCTGAATAATAAATGTGATATTAAAATTTCGAACGGAATTCAAAGTGAAATGTTGGAAAAAAAGAGAGGAATAAATTTTCTCGTATATATTCAGTTATCTAGGCAGTCATGGTCATGTGTTTTATTGTAACTCTTTCACAGTTACTCTTTCTCTCTCTCCCTTTGTGTCTGATTAATCCCGAGCATGTTTTCTTCATTTTCGACATGTTGCTTTTCACTCGTCACGTGACATAATATCCCCGAACGAACGTCCAAACCATCACAACTTCCAAACGTCTTAATCCACCTAAAATCAAGGATTCTATTTACCTTCTATCTTCCTTCAAATCAAACTCTCGACAAACAGTAAGCACCCGAGTT